TTCTAACACCAAAAAAAGTACTTACGTAGCGTGAAAATATCTTTTGTGATATAACTCTTTCAAAAGTACATTAAAATGGTTGCCAGCAGGGGTGTACATGTAGATTTATTAAATACACCTTGTGCGCCACGTAGGAACCGAATCTAGAACCTGACACTCGAAATATTTGCTCTGTTACAATCGCACCCTGTTACAATTGACCCCACTCTCCCCTACTATTTTCAGTTCTGAATCAAAAATTTAAGATGAATTGAATGTGTAATGAAAATACGTCTAATAAAATGATCTGATCTGATTTCATTCAACTAAAATAAAAGTGCCTGAGAATTTTTTTTTGAAATGCTTGAAAATTTCTATAATACAAACGCATGAACGCATATTTATTGAGAACCGTAAGAAATAGCTATAATTTGTATTGAAACTTTTTAAGAATTATTCCTTTTGAGGGGAAAAAGAAACGAACATAAGCACCAAGTATATTTCAAGTAGCTAAATCACTTATTGCTGATCAAAATTATTACTGATTAAATCACAGTTACCGATTAAGTGAAGACATTGATTTAAACATTGGTACGATTAGCATTGGTACTTCCACGGATTGGTACTTTTCTTTTCTCTGTACACGGAGAAAAGAAAACAGTAGAGAATGATAATGTTTCTCACTAATTTTACCCTCTTTAAGCTTATGTAACATTATTTTGAAAATAATGTACAAAAAATACTGATAAAAACAATTCAATTTTAGGCAATTTTTATACACCTTAGAAAAATTTCAAGACTGGTCTATTTTTCAAGTATCTCGATTTTAAAAGAGTTTAAATACATTCTTAACATACTTTAATTAGTGGTCTCTACATACATTTTTTATTTTTTCCTTGATCACTATCTATATTTTACTTAATTTTAAATTATAAAGTTTAAAAAAATTGGTACCAGAAACTGAAATTTTAAAAATTGCTCAACAATAATACATATTTTTTATTTAGGCATAGGAGCACTAAAATCGGTACAAATAACTTTTTATTATATTTGAAAGAGTACAGTCATCGTCTTAATTAAGATTTAACTTTGAAAATTGAAAATATTTTCTCCTCAAAAATGCAAATCCCTTATTCAGTTTGCCAATTCTTAATTCGATAAAATATTTCAGATATTTTTCAATGACGTCAAACAGATAAATTATTAATTGCTTAGATTTGTTTTTCCTACCAAACAAGATTATAATAAATAGAATGTATGTATTTCCTTGAACCAACGAATTTGAATTTTTCAGTGAAAATTTTAACTTTTTTTATACAAATTCTAGATTTTCGTAAAATTTTCTACTTTTTTTTATGTACAAAAACTAGATTTTAACCTAATTAAAATTTATTATTTTTTGATTTATTATTTCTTAATTCATTATTTCTTTCATTATTTATTTCCTAAATGTTTCATTTACACATGATTTTAAATTATATTTCTAAAACTATGGACACGTTATTATATAAGTTCGTAACATAATTTTGTCAGTTGCTTAACTAATAACTTATTGTTTTATATTATTATAACTCATTATTAAAACTTATTATTTTAACTTAGTTTTTTATTTATTACTAATGACAGGCCACAAAAAGTTATTCCAAATATTTTAATTATTTTTTAAATCTGATTCATTCTCAATGTTTTGGTTGGTTCAGATGGGAAAAATGTGATTGGATTTGAATACTATCTTATACGTAAAGTTTGTTAGCCGTTTAAATGCATAATCCCTAAATCTAATCCATAACTGTAATTTATCAAATGTAGATTGTTTAAAATTAATTTTTGTAATTTAAAACAACAAATGCGTTTAATTAGCATGTTCTATTTTTTTCTCATTACATTATTACATGTTATGAGAAACATAACACTTTTACATGAACATAACACTTAACATGAAAGTAACACTTTTTTTTAAACACTTCTGCATTACACTGTAAAAATTTTCTAATTTTCTGAACATTTTCATTGAGACGGATAGTGCGCATTGTTTCAAGTATCAATATATTTAGGTTCATGGAAGAAAATTTCTGGTAAAATTACCGTAATGTATGGTAATGACGTTTCTGGTAAAGAAACATAATTATGGTTAATGAAACCAAAATATACTGTATTTAAACCTTTCATTTGGTCATTTTTCCGTTCGTATTTACCATAACGGAAAAATTAATTAATTTAATACAGGTTTACCAGAAATTCGGGTTTTAAAAACTAAGGTTCCTATTACCACACATTTAGTAAAAAAAATATTTGGAGAAAATTAAAACATCATAAAATGGCAAAATTGAGCTACTTTATATAGCCAGTAAACGAATAACAATTTTTGGAGCAGCGTAGCCTGGAATTTTTTACAATGTAAGTGCTTCAGGATAGAGTTTGAAAAAAGTAGCTTGATGATTATTTTCTTCCCAGTGTTAATTTTAGCGTTAAAATAGAGTTTCAAAAAAATGAAAAGAAATGAATTGATTTTAAGATAAAAAGATGATCTAAGCTTTAATATTTTTCTATATTTAGAACGGATTCGATATAACTTTCATCATCTTCTTCATGAGTTGTGAAATTTTATTTTCTTGTCTTTTATTAAGACATTGTTAATTTATTTTATTTATTAATCATTTATTTCATTGTCTTTTATTCAAGAAAAAATCAATTCTCATTTTCATTAATTTTTTTAAGTATTTCTTTTCAGTTGAGGTGCTATAATGAAGTTCAAATATATTATAATTATTAACATTTCTTGAAAATTTTCCTGTACATTCAATTGCAATTGAAAAATCATTTAAGGAAAATAGGAGCAGTAAGGGGTTTATCTATTTTTAAGAACATTCTAAAAAAATAGTGAATAAAAAAACCTTCAAATGTTTATTTGAGCATTTCATACACTTAAAAATACACAAATATTTTAAGGAAAATAAAAGATTATTTTATCCATATTATCACTAATTGTGTTTTGATGTGTTTCCTTAAGCGAGTTATTTCCTTTTTTTCCAAACTAACTAATTGTCACTTACCATGTCTTGATGTGTTCCTACTGTAAGAATATTATTTTTAAAGTCGTAAAATTAATATAACATCTCTAACATAATAATCTATAGGGAATGCCTTTTAAATTGAGTTGTGAATTTTCAATTGCACTCTTATATTCTGAAAGAAAGGAGGAAAACGACATTAATATTTCAAAATATCCTCAAAAATATTTTATTTGTATTCGGATATAATGTTTAAATATTTTATTTGAGTTAAAGAAATTTTAGAAAACTTTAGAATTCTACAATACTCTTTCAAAATAGAGTTTATAGACGCGCTCAATAGTGTCAAAGCCAAAATAAAATGTATGTTAAACTCTCAAAATTTCATACATTTGTATGTTCATAAATAGGAATATAAATTAGAATAATGCGTTATAATAATCACTGGCGACTAAAAAGTTTAGAAAAGGAATGAATAAAACAAACATTTGTCACATTATTTGACAATTTCCGTCTGGAATATTTTAACTCATAAGTTTCTTGAATTAGATTCAAAACAAAACTTTATAAATCTAGTTTTAATTTCGGCATCGTGTAAAATAAGCATAATTTTACACTTTTGACTCTTGTATCAAAATTTAATATTTTTCTTCTATATTTTTAATTCCTGATTAAATGTAATGTTTTGAATTATTTGTTTAACATATAGATGCAATATGGTGTATTTATTTAAAAATTCTGAATAATAAAGAAAAATTTACTAAATTAAATTAACTTTGTTCATTAAACAATAAAGATTTATTTAGGAAGATAAATAAATAATAATAAATAAATTAAATATTATGTTAAATAAATATTAATATGAATTAAATATTATGGTGAATAAATTAAATAATTTTTTTGAGTGATTGTAATTATGATGGTAAGATAAAACAATTTGCAAAAACTGATGATTGCAATTACTGAAAAAGGAACCTAGTTTAACGTATCATTTTATCAAGCTCACTGCAAAAGTTATGGTGTATTTCAATGAAAAAATTCCATTATTGAAACGCCTCTCCCGAATGACATAATTGAAATTTTTGAAAGATTTTTAGGAGCGGGGGGTTGAAATTGTCCCTTAATGACACTCTCCAAATTTCAAGGAAGCAAAGAAAGTGAAAATAAAGCAGCGAAACGGAGAATCTAGAAAAAATATAGTCTTCTGATTTGTCATTTTGTAAATTATAAATTATTAAAAAAGTGTAACTTATTTAAAGAACTTTCTACCGCAGTAAACCAAAAGATCAGAAGAGTATGCAGCTTTCAATTCTCGCCAGAAGAAATACACCATAGATTTCACCCGCATTAATTTTCTCCATCTATGAAAAATAACTTTTGCACTAAGCTTTCCGATCACATGTTGGGTTTGAATAATATGTTTATGTTTTTTTTTCTTGGTGACAAGCTTTAAAAGTTTAAGTATCGTCTGCACTAAATATTCAGTATTTAGTATCAGCAGTGGTGGTTTAGTGGAAAGAGCGTCAGCCTCTCAATGAGGTCAACCCTGGTTGGAAACCCCTCGTGGCTGGTTGATACAAATTCTGTTCCCGGTTCGCACTGGACGGACGTAAAATATGCTAAATGGTAGACGGATCATGGATTAGAACCCTCTTGTCGTTGGGCTAACCATGAGGGCAAATGTGGATTAGCTCCATCAAAAAGTCCTCCACGAAGTTTAATTCACTCCATGCCTGATCTAGTTGTTCCCTTGCCTTCTTGTTTGGATTATAAGAATGGAAAAGTGTAAAGTTACGGAGTTGAACATTGATAGTCATAAACTCAGATTTGGGACGGCTATTCAATACCGCTTATAAAACAAAATAAAAGTTTTAGTTTTTTGATTAGACCATCGAGCCATTAAGTACATTTTAGTACGTAAAAATCTGATCATAAAATCAAAAGTTATCAAGGTACTCAGCTTTTAATTTGAACATTATGCATTTTTCGGAAATTTAAAGATATTCTTACCTTCTCTTTTATTACTTTCTCCTAAAAGCTTCATCCGAAAGTCGATGTAATTTTCTTTGTCATTATGATGACCCCCACTGCCCCTATCGCTAAGTCTCACTACTCCTTCGCCTACTATATGGAAGTATAAACCTATAAATAGAGAATCATTTAGTAACCAATTCAAATTATCAGACTAAAAATGTAAAATTTGTTAAATTTATTATAGTAATTTTTACATAAATATAATCTATAATAAGATTTATTTTGAAATCGATTAATTAATCGATTCACTTATACACTGATACATTTATTTACTTATTGTTGTACTTAATTAAAAATTTGCCTTCTTTCCTCGATTAAATTCATTTATTCATTCAGTCACTCATTCATTTGTTATATCGTTATAAGATATCATAACCAATAATATCATAACCATATCATAACCATAATCATTTTAAGATATCATAACCAATTATTAAATACTCAATAATTATTTCAATTGCATCAAATTAAATATCGAAAATAATAAACATTTGAGAATCAGTATATCTTAAAATATCATTTGATAAACAAAATCTCAAAAAACTAAATTATAGAGTAACGGAAAATATAAAATGTTTTTGACTTAATAAATGATGTTCGTAAAAGCAAATCTCGTTTCCTATAGGTTTCTGAAGCTATAAAATATAAAACAAACAAATGAAGCCCTAGTGCTCAATCAGCTCATTTTTAACGAATACGAGATTTTAAACTGCGTAATCCAGAATTTTTTTTTCTTTTTTTAAAGTTTTTAATAGCATAATAAAATGATAAACTCTTATAAAATATCAGTGAACATGAGTTACGTCACACATGAACTATGAGAAACAGAGTGTCACAGCAAGAACTGTGTTACAAACGAGAAACTCTGTGTTACAGCAAGAGAAACAGAGAGAGCTGACAATCCTATAAAATGAGTCCTGCCTGTCCATAATTTTATATATCCCACTGAGTAGGCAATTTAGACTCACGATAATATTAATGCGATGAAGGTAGTCCACTTCTAAAAAAATGAAATGTAATAATTATGGATTACAAGTTACTCTAATTTTGGACCTTTTTCTCCATCAGTAATAAAAACCAAAAGTCCAAAAATAATAAATGATTTAGAAAACTAAGTGAAATCTAAAAAGGGTGCACAAAGCTAAAGTTTGCTCACAAAATAATTTTATTAGCATCAGGTATTTTTCTAACCAAATTTAAAAATTAATTACGAATTCGTCAGCAGATGACGCTGCTAGCCAAAGAAAAATCTCAAAAGAATGTTAGACTATTTGAGAATATCTGAATTATGATGTTTATTATTCGAAAAGAACACAGAAGGTATGGATATTTAATCGTGTTCATCAGTTATTATTATTGTTGCTAATAGTTTAATGAGACATTCACGATGTTACGAAATATTTATGAATTAAGTATTGATATTTAGATTTCAAATAGCGTAACTGAAGGACAAAGCCTTTTAAAAGTGGAATTTTTTCATATTCCCTTTCTTAAAACAATTGTTCAAACATTGTGAATTAATGCATCGTAATACCTGCGACAGTTTTAATATTTTATTTTAAAACTCATAAAACTTTTCTAGCTTAATAATTACTTTACTTTTTCTAAATTTTTCAATTTAGTGAAGTCTAGACATGTTATTAGCAATGGTATATTTTAAAATGCTGCAGTAATTTTTATTTTGATTTCACTGTAAATATATAGATTAAATTATTAAAACCTTAAACTCAGTGTCCTACTTTTAATTTAAATTGAAAATTAAATTTTTTGAAGTTATACTTCTTATGTGACATCCAACAAGGTTGCGTTAAACGTTTAATGGTACATTTTTATTGGTCGGGAAATCACGTGGTAGGATCCAGTTTTCCCTCATTCATTTCCATATTGTTTTGGTTCTCACTAGCAGAAAAATAACAAAAGTCTTAAAAGTATTGTTTTTCAATAAATATTTTTTTAGTTTGTTTTGATACACATATAATTTAACAGGGTAGCATTTTTTATTTTCAAATTTAGTGGAAAACAATTGTAAAAAATGAGTGAAGACAGTCCCACGGACAATGCGACGGATTTAAGGTTATGGTAAGGTACGTCTCTCGTGAATATCAATTGATCGTTTCTCTTCTGAAATTACATTATGACGCATTCACATACATTATTAATACAAATACATTTTCCCGGGCGAGACGGTGAGGCAACCACAAGCACTTCCACTGGTTCAAGAGGGAAAAATGCACAATATTATTACAGAGCACGGAAGCGAGCGGAGCAGGAAAAAGAGTCGTTGAATAGAACTATGAACGTATCCTTCTACGAATATACGAGGATAGTGAATAGAACTATCCTTCTACGACTGCTGATTCCTCTACAATTCACGTCACAGGTTGCGAAGTTTAACTTCTTCTGCGCGGAGGGACTCCACGCACTATTTTGTTTTTGTTTTTATTGTTCACCATAAAGAAATTGCACAGTTAATCTTAAAACAATTAGAAATTAAAACTTTTTACTAATGTCAAGCATTAACGACTAGTTAATTTAGTTACTGTTTTTCTTTTAAAGGAACTAAATTTGATTAAGCAAAATGAAAGAGGCAAAGCAGCTATCCCAAAGTAATTTACAAATAGTTATCACACTTGGGTTTATATTACATAACTTAACTGAGAATATGCAAATTAAAATTTTTTTGATTTGCGGCATATTTTGAACAACATTTTCGAAAATGAGTTTATTATAAATTTAGAATTCCTTTACTCTTAGCTTTCTAAAAATACTTTACTTTTGTTTGTACTGCAATTATTTACAAAGTTATAGCAGTTTTTGTGCAAAATGATAAAAGTGCATAGACTAATGATTTTAAGTTTTTAAATGCTTTTATCTCAAAATCAGAGTTTTTCGCATTTTACATCATCTTAAACACGATATCTCATGTTGTTTTTGAAATAATTTTCTAAAATTTTTAACGAGTGTTCATAATTAAAATACGCATGTTTTGAACTACAGACAAAAAGAAAAAAAAAGGAAGAATTTTTTATTTTATGCATGTTTTTTTGCAAAGATAATTAGCGAACTTTTTAAAAAATTGCTTTTTTTAACAACATTGATCCCTAACTCAGTAGTATATATACTTGATTTTAAGGTAGAAAATAGAAACATAGTTGTTAGCCTTCTAAATAAAGTCCGCAAAGGAGTTTTGGTTTTAAGTGAAAGAAATTTTTTTTACAGTGTTTAGCGCAAATGCAAAAAAAAAACCTTATTTTTACTTAAACTTTTTAAATATTAATATTAATTTTTCTGCTAGTTATATAAGTTTTTATCCTTCATAAAACAAACAAACTAATTTTCTTTGAATTTTATATTAATATTTGAAAAAAAAGTTGTCAAAACTAGTCGGATACCTTAACATAATTGAAACTTAATATATTGCCTTAGTTTAGGGATGATACACTAAGTCCCTAAAGTTTTCGTTTCCAGTTTAAAATGTTTTTGATTAATTTACGTTGCAGAGAAACAAACGATGTGTGCATAAGTTCAAGACTTACGATTGTCTGACTTTCTTTATGAACGTCTAGAAATTGTCTTAACTACTTTTTACAAGTAGTTGAGTGAACATAAAATTATTAAATTTCTTTGTGTAAGTAGTTTTGGAGACAGCGAAGTATGCAAAAAATGAAATTAAAATAAAGAAGTTATTCAATCATACTTCCGCTTTTTGTTTAAACTATTGCTGTCAAATTACAAAGATTGCGATGCATATTTTTGAAATCATAAATCCAAATCCGTAGAATATTAAACATGCTTTCTCAGAGGAAGTGCATTTTTGTGTCTGTTTCCGTAACTTAAACTACCATCTTGCCTTATTTAATGAGCATATTTAAATTTAAATTCCTGCATTATTAAGAGAGAGCATTTTGGTACTCAAACTAAAAACAGATCAGAAGCTATCGGTTCTGTTTTTGATTTGCGTATTGTATACATGCACACATGAATCGACATTTTCAGTTCACAGTTAAACTGAAACAAAGTCTACGAATCACAAGTTTGTGCCACCAATAATACAATTCTATAGTTTGTGCTACTTCTTTTTTGATAATATAAAATTAAAATGAAACTGTAATTTTAATTAATTTAACAATTTGATTAGTTGCATTTGAAACTTGAACTAAAGTTTCCAGTTTTTAGAGTTAAATAAAGAGAGTACTTTAATGCATGAGGAATTTAATAAATGTCATAAGCTTTTGAAATATTTTGACTTGTTTCTTTAAATTATAAATCCAAGAAAGTTATTTAAAAAAAATGAAATATAGAAGTTGTTTGAAGATTGAAATCCAATTAAAATATTTATTGTTTATCTTAAAATTACTTTCAAGTACTACTTTTAATTACTTTTAAATTACTTTTAAGTATTGTTTATCTTAAAATTACTTATATTAGAAAAATCAACAATGTATCGAAAATTAATTAAATGTGTTCAATATGATGAACTCACTGAATGTCATTATCAAATTAAACGTAATTGAATACATAATTTTATAACAGCATATTTTTCTTATTATATGACACTAAACTAAATCATTAAGAGACTTTTAGCAAAGAATGTGCAAAAAGCATATCACAAATAAATTAAACAGTCAAAAATTTTTTAGAACTAAGTCTTTCGTTTGAAGAACGTATCTCCTAATTTGTTTCGAAGAGATGATTTCAATTTTGATTTGAGTTCTACCACTATTCCTAAATTAAGAAATTAATTTAATGAAGATACAATTTTGAAGAATCTTTTTAAATTCTTCGTAAGAAGTGCTTTTTTTCTTAAAATTTCTTTTTAATATTAAGACATTAAGAATTTGAAAGTTAAATACTTCAAGAAACAAATAATAATATTCTGAAATCATTTGAAATCAAAAAGTAAAAGTTAAAATTCTCAAAAAAATAGTTATAATCTCTGTACAGAGTAATAGTACACAGTACGCTCTAATAGTATAGTCTAATAGTACACAGTATAGTCTAATAGTACACAAAATTAAAGCGAAAATATTTCTGATTTTTTTTTCTGATAAAACACAATTTATTCAAATTTTTTTTTAAATGCAGAAAGATATTTTCTTTAGGATTTG